TGGGACATAGCAGAGGGTGGGGGATGGGGAATCAGGGATGGCAAGACAAAGGGCAAGGTATGCAGGATGTAAGAATTGGAAAATTATTTGCTGAGAACATGTATGTGGATGTACTTGATTGAGACAATGCACAGTGTATTTTGGATGGAAAATTCATTTGTGTGTTGTGAGGGTGTAAAGTGAATTAATAAATAAATAAATTTAAAAAAAATAAAAATAAAATAAAATAAAATAAAAAAAAGAAAGCAAGCATAGATACCAGAGACAATGTGGGAGGAGAGTGGGAGATGGCAGAGGGTAAGAGATAGGGAATCAAGGATGAGGGAAAAAAAAAAAAAGAAAAACATTAGGAAATAAGAAATGGAAAATTATTTGTTGATGATAACATGTATGCTGATGTGCTTGATTGAACCAATAAACAGTGTAATCTGGATGGAGAATCTCATTTTGCATGTTGTAATGATGTACAGTGAATGAATGTAAATAAATAAATAAATTTTAAAAAAAAAAGAAGAAGAAATAGAAGTTATAAATAAGCAAATAATCTCGAGAGACAGAGACAGAAAGCGAGAAATCATCGCCCCCAGAGGGATGGCCACACCACAAGCCCTCCTCCATTCTCCTCTCAGGATCTTAGGCACACACACATGCACCTGGCGTCAGTTTTAATCCACTGGGTCCAGTCCGCTGTGGTGGACTAGACGGAGTCCAGCGCCACAACCATTACGCCATCTGCTGGTCGCAGTCGTCAAAAATTTCTACCCCTAAAATAAAAGGCCAAGATAATTACCAAGTCTTTGAGAAAAAAAACTTTTTTTATTTAATTTTTAAACCTCTCAAAGAGTAGAAAAAGAAGAAAGATTATCTTGGCTACAAAAGCTGGCCTGGACAATGTTAGAAAATAGGAGAATAGAATAATTTCACTCACAAACAGAAATGCAAAATTGCCACAGAAACTATTAGGAAATAAATGTTAGGAGTCTATAATAAATAATACATCACAACCAAGTATTTTTTCTGAAGGATGAAGCAATATTTAACATCAGAGTTCATCAGTATTTTCTACTTAAATAACACATGAAAAAGAGTAAATCATTCTAATAGATGCAGAAAAAATATTTATCAGTGTAAACCGAAGACTATTTATGCTGAATTATTTTTTGAAAAAGTAGAAATATCCAAGAACGTTTTTTTTTTTTTTTTAAGTTTGCTATAGAGCACATGCACTCATTGGAGAGAGGGAGAGAGACCAGGAGAGAGGAAAAGTGGGAAATCCCACCCTGGGGGGTGACCATGTCGCAATCCCTTCTCCTCCACCCTCCTCGTGGGATTTTGGCCACGCATGCACATGCATCTGGTGTGATTTTCAAGTAGCCAGGGGCCAGGACTTGACTGGCGAAGCTGGTCATGTGAGATCCAGCAGCCTTAACCTCCTGGCCCCAAGAACATTTTTTACTTGCTAAAACAAATTTACTAAAAACTCATAAACATCATAATCAATAGTGAAAATTTATAAGCATTGTCTTTAAAGTCAGGAAAATTACCCAACACTTAGAAACAGGCAAGAAGACACTTCTTCTCTCATTTACTGTCTCTCTCTGATGAGAGCATGCACCTTCTGGTGCAATTTTTTAAAAGAAGTATATGATAGGGACCAGCAGATGGTGTAATGGTTATGTCACTGGACTCCCAAGTTGCTGACTGTGGTTCAAGTCCCAGACCTGGCAACTTAAAACTCGTGCTAGGTGCATGTGTGTGCGTGCCCCAAATTCCGAGAAGAGAATGGAGAAGAATAGATTGTGGCATGGACATCCTCCCTGGGGGCTGATTTCCCCCTCTCGCTCTCTTTGTCTCTGTCTCTCTGGCAAGTACAGGAAGAGATTTTCCCTATAGGAAAAGTCTCTCTGTACCCACTCAGTTCAAGGCCCAGTCAAATCTAAATCATTTAACTATTTGCTGAGCCTGTAAGAAACTTTGCCTTCCAGAACCTTACATTACTTTTTTAAACTTCCATTTATAATGCACTATTACTCATAATTCATTCTTTTTATGATAAAAAATACAGAAAGTCACATAGAACTATGTATGAAACACTGCAATCAATAAGAGCTTACATGGTATAGGAAGGTGAAAATCCCAATCCCAATTTTGCTTCTGCCAGATAAACAGATCAAGATTACGAAATAATTCTATTTTGTATCATTCTCAAGATATATGCAAAAAAGAACAGTACTGCACTTAATATTTGGCAACCTCTTTTACTCACTCAGTGTATATGCCCCTGACATTCACTAATGTTAATTCGCGTGGACCTAACTCACTTATCTTTTTTTAAAGAATTATTTTATTTAACTTTATTTATTTACTTATTTTAGTTTGACCAGAGAGGGACATGGTAAGAGAGAGAGAAAGCCAGAAAGCAAGTTGCCAGGTCCAGAACTTAAACCATGGCCAGCCATGTGGGAGTCCAGCGCCCCTAACCACCATGCCACCTGCTGGCTCCCCCAGCTCACTCAAATGCAGTTTGTTCTTCATAAGATACATTTTGGGCCAGCAGGTGGCATGGTGGTTGAGGTGCAGGACTCCCATCTGGCTGACTGTGGTTCGAGTCCCGGACCTGGTAGCTTGCTTTCTCACTTTTCCCTTTCACTCTGTTTCTCTCTGGTCAGGTTAAAAAATAATAATAACAACAACAAATACAATTCTTTGTTTAAAAAGGTACATTTTATTTATACAGTCACTCATCTGTGACTTGTATCCGTTCCAGCTTACATTATTAGGAAAAATATTTCACTAAACATTTTTGTTTATGTTTCTGATAAAAGTTCTTCCATATTAGTAATAAGACTAAACAAGAAACTGATGACGTTTTCAGTGTACTGAATATTGCTAAGCTCTATTCTTTCAAAAATGGCTGCCAATTTTCAGATAACTATGTATCATAAAATTGCCTTTCGATGTGGTTGTGCAAATTTACACTCCTAACAACCTGAAAGAGTAATCACCAATCACTGCTTAACACTTGGTATTATTATCATTTTTACATTTTCCAAATCTGATTAATAAAAAAATGGTTATTGTTATTTTTGTTTTTTCCCAGATTACTAGTGACGTTACTATCCTTTTATGTATTTAATCATTTGCTTTTAAAAAAATTTTTTTTGGGGGGAGAGATTTTTGTTATAGGGCACATACCCTTGCCAGAAAGAGAGAGACAGAAAGCAAGAAATCACCTCCCGGGGGATTGGCCACACCACAATCCCTTCTCCTCCATTTTCCTCTGGGGATCTTGGGCACGCACGCACACACGCATACACACACACACACACCCAGCACACCCAGCATGACTTTAAAGCCACCAAATCCGGGACTTGAACCAAGGTTGAGTACATAGGAGTCCAGTGACATAGCCATTAGGCCAACTGCTGGTCCCTTAAATTTTCTTTTAAAAGATACATATAATTTCTGTTTAAAATTTGAAGGGGACACATATAAGCTAAATGGTAATCATTATGCCACAAGAGAAGCACCAGTACCTGTAGAGAAGTGCACATTATTTATGGAGGTACACAAGAGGACCACTGTACTGGTTAGGATACCTTTGGGTGTAAGTAACAGAAACTAGCTTTAACGATTACAGGGCTTTATTAGCTCAGATAACGCGGATGTTTACAGATAGATCAGGATAGACTTGATCCAGCAACTTAAAAATCATTCAGTGTCAAATTTCTTTCCCTTCCTCAATTCTGCAATCCTTGGGGGTCAGCTTAGTTTTGGTCTCCTGTCGGCTCCCCCTTGTGGCAGGAGGTGGTTACCAGATGCTCAAAGTTAAGTGTCCTCTGTGCACGCCTGGCAGGAGAGACAGAGCAGCTTTTTCTGTGTTGGGGGATGGGGAGAATATGATATTCTAGGGAGGGGGCAACATCAGTGCTCAGCACCCACCCCCATCTCGCTTTGTAGGTACGACAGTGCTTCTGTGTGACTCTCCAAAACATATGGATCAGCACCAACCGGCTTCTGTGGTTCTGATCCTGGGGATCCATGTTTCTTGTATAAAATGAAATGTTCCATTTATGATACAAATAGAGATCCATATGTCTTGTGTTAAATGAAATGTTCTGTTTATAATATACACAGCAGAAACCCACAACTATCTGGGTACTTACCCATCCCCATCATCTTTCTTTTCTTCTTTTTTTTTTTAATCAATTTTAAATTTAGTATCCACAGCTGAGCATGTAGATGCATAATATATAAACATGCCTTTAAGAAACTTCTAGAAATCAAATAAAGAAAAATAAAATAGGTATTAATACCTTGAAATATATCAACAGTTAAGTCAGAGTTTAAATGGAATTGTGCGTTTGGAGTGCTTAAAAATAAGACGGTCTCCCTCCATATTATGTGTCCCTTTTAGGTAGATTTTTATTCTGTGACAAAACAAGCTAGCTGTCCAGTGACGACACATTCCTACGTTGTGTGCACAGTTTGCAAACATGGCCACATGGCTTTATGGACACAAGAAGACTTTGGGATTGACGGGGAAGAGAAAGTCATGTAACCACATGTGCAAACCGTTATGCAATTTCAGAACGTTCAAATAACGGCAGCGAACGATGGCTGCGGAGTTCCGACCGCCGCACTTCTCTTCCACCAAAACGCCAGAGGCCAGAGTCCGTGCTGTTTGGAGACGTGAGCAACTCCTCGGGTACTAAAGGTCTGAACGTGTGGGAAACAAGCTTCCTCAGTGAGCTGTTACGATAAGTAAAAAGTCTCTTAAATTTTAATTAACACCATTTTTCAAGACCCAATATTCCCATCTGCCTCTATCTGCAACTATTTGGGTATAATTCGTTTTCCTAAGTCGTCGGTTTTATAAAATTGATTGCCTACTCAAGAAAGGCTGCTGACTTTGTGTTTCACAAACTCTAGAAAAGCTACTTAGTGGTTTTATGTTGACAAAAGCATGTTGGGATGGAAGGTCTGTGAAGAGTCTGAGTCTGAGTGAGTGGTGACAGGTATCCTAGGGATATTTGGAACCTGGACAGACCAATTTTCTCATTTTAATTGTCACAAAACAACTGGGGGTGCTAACAGGCCCTGGGTGCCGAAGTAAGGCCGTGAGTCCCGCTCACTCTGGATGTAGAAACCTGCAGTTTGCACACCCCTTCCCAGAGGCCTCAAGGTCCCCGAAGCCGGGCTACAGGACAAGCGCGTGTGCCAGCCTGCAGCCTGCTCCATGGTTTTCGTTCTCTCCCCCTGCAAAAGTTGGGGCTTCCAATTGCTAAGCGGGTCTGGGATTACCCAGAGTAAACGCTGCTAGTTTATGGCCGGTTGGAGTCAATAGTCTAGCGCCGTGGACATAACCCCGTGTGAGCGTGGAGGACGCCCTCCGAACGTCCAGTGAGCGCCGGTGTCACGCTGTCACGGTACACACCGACGGGACACGCGAAGAAGGGACAGCATGTTCGAGCTCAGAAGAGGCGGGGAGCTCCTGGGGGTGGGGCAGCTTCGAACCTCTACTAGTCCAGGGTCCGGTCCCAAGGCCGGCTGCAGGCTGCGACCGCGACCACGCCCCGGGCCAGGGGTGCGGACTGCGGGCGACAGGGGGCGCCGGCGAGCGGCCGGGCCGGCCT